GGTCCTTGCCTGTGTGCATCTGTCAGGTGAGGAGAAGGAAGCTCAGACTAGGAGACTGGTCAGGATAGGAGAATGGGAAGAGCCTCCACTGCCATGTGGGCACTGATAACTGTGCAAAGAGGGGTACAGGCTGCCACCCCAAGGTAGCAGGGCCAAAAATCAGTCTTAGTGAGCAAGAGTTCACTTTCTGGAACAGAACCAGGCCACTTGGAACTAGATAAAGAAACTGCCCATACTTCACTTTCATTATTTGGTGTTCACTCCAAACAAGAGTTTGGAGAATTTCTTGCAGAAATTCATGATGGCAGAAAAAAAGGGAAACAGTTGGACACAAGATATTCATCTTGCTTTTGCCCTGAACACAGAGCCTGTGAGTGTTCTCCAGATCATGTTTTGGCAAGAACACTTTTAACATTTTAAATTAATATGTTATTTTACCTCAGTGAAACTTGTTGAGCTGGCAGTCTTTATGACTGAAGCCCTTTATTGAACACAGAGCACTTGCTGGGATGACACAGCCAGAAGTGACACCGTTCCCTCCCATTTTATACTGCACAAAATGAAGAGGCTGCTGTACTAATGATAGACTGTATCCAATCATGAATAAAAATACTATGTTCCCACCACTAAAGCTACTCCAGGAACTCCTCAGGGCTCCTTTATTTTTATGACCTTTCTGTAAGCAGTTACTTTAACCCTCTGATGATACTTATAAACTGATATACACTACTGTAAAAGATAGCCTTCTTTTACAATTCTGGATGATTGCCCATGGGCTTGCAGTCCCTCCCTCACAAGACATCATATTATTCTCCTTCAAGGAGAATAATATTAACTATGTAAAGCTTACTATTTAGAGCATATTTGGATATCCTTGACTGGAAATCACCCATACACTCCCTATCAACTCCTGCTGGAGCTTCCTAGTGGGGTGGCTACATTACATTGAGCGAGGACTGAGAAAAGGTTTTCAGGTTTTGAGAAGAGCTTGGTTGGTGCAAGAGTTCATGAATGTCAGAGGAAGCCACGCTGTTCCCATATACCAACCCAGGCAGTGCCCTCCTGATCTGATACAACTTTTGGCTCTACGTTTATTTCTTCTTGTATCACTTCCTGCAAATTGTAGCTGGTCTGCCTAGCTGAGATTTTCCTAGAAGATCTAGCTCCTGAAATTCTCACTGACTGAAGTTACATGGGATTTGCAGCACCTTCAAGGTCAAAATATGAGTTTGGACAAAAAAACTCAGGCAAAGTCTGAATTACGGAACTTATGAGCTTTGGGTACGTGATGGTGTCCTTCAAATGGCTACCACTTTACTCTCCAGTTTGGCAAATCTGAACTTGTTCCTAAAATTGTCCTCTCCTTGGGCTTCAGATCTAAATATCCTGTACATCTGGGTGATCTCACCTGGAGTACTGGACCTGGCCTAGCTATAATCTTCACCAGCTTCTTGGAGTGCTTCTGGAAACATCAAGTGGATGTTCTTCCTCCAGAGTCAGATTATCGGAGCACTGTATATCCTGTGGGATTCATTACTAAAGCCACAGCTCTCTTCCATTTTCCATGTTTTCTCCACCCAGAAGATTTTCTGGAAGGTGAAGAGGTGACCCCAACACACAGCCTCACCTTGGAACAAGCATGGGCTGGCATGGTGGATCAGCACCCTGTCTTGAATAGAATGAGGGGCGGAGTGTGTTTTTCAGGACATAGTAAGGAATTTAAGCCTTTTACTTGGACCAGGGTAGAACTTTTCAATGTGAGGACCAGATACCTTATGGGGCATCTAGGAAAAACTGTCCTTTTCTAGAGGATGAGAGTTGTTTAAGCCACAGGCTACAGCTTTAGTGAACAATGAACCAACTTGCAGGACCATTAGAACCGCCAAACTCCCAAATACATTTTTGTGGAGTTCAGTTCATGTAGCAGGTCATTCAGCTGTATTTTAATGAAGTTCTGACTAGACTTCCTGGCCTAGTGAAATAACATTGCTTAAGCTCTCACAGCACTGGGTAGAAGGGAAAACTCCAGGCTGGACTATGTTATCATCTGTAATACTATAACACACATTTTTCTTCTTTGGCAATTTCAACAGCATTTGAAATCTTCCTGTAAAGTCCAAGGAAATCAGAATATGAGACCACTGTCGAGATTTTTCTTCTGACTTAATGTTTCTCAATAAAAGTACTGACTTGAAGCTCAGAGAATTGAGAAAATTGAAAATTACACAGTGTAAAGATACTGAAAATTGCTCTTTTGCTTTGGAGACCTGGGAAGGTTCAGATAAATGTCAGTGTAATAATGCATTTTTAATGCAATTTTGCTGAAGAAGTTGTAACATAATTGTTGATCTGTACTTCATTAGTGTTTTCAGAGCACCGATTTTCCCTGATTTAACTCCTTAACTAGAAATGAGGTTACTTTTTTTTAAAAACAATTTTGTCTCACAAAGACCAGGAAACATCTTCTGCACCTTTGTTGTTATTTTGTTCCAATGAGTTAAGTTTGGACATTGAGCAATCAAACCACCAATGCTCATGAGCTGTAATTTTCAGTTTTCTAAGGAAGATACACAAAATGGAAATTGGCAAACTTGTGATTCCATTGCAGGGTGTCTGGTGAAAATACTTTGGATCAGTAACATATCTGAGAGAAGACTGGAGAATTGGCCAGACGTCCTGTATGTACTATGCCAAAAAAGCTTAAGCAGCATCCACTCACAATTCAGATGCTTTTTAAGGTTCAGAAATGTTTAATTAGAAGAGTATTCACTCTTTATGAAGTATGACTTATGGAACAGGTTTATATAGGAAAGCTGAAATTATCCATTAATTGACAGCTTTATCCTGGGGATTTTTCCTCCTTCAACATAAACATTTGTCTTGAGCATTTTTTTAAAATTACAGTAGACTAGAAGTTTGCCAAATATTTAGTGGTTTTGTGAAGTTGTTTGGTATTCATGTCTACTACAGTTCTACAGAAAACAGTTCTAAGAGCCACTTCTTTCACTACATGGCTGGCAATCTAGAGAGGGGTGAAGGATAACAAACTTTAAAAAGATGTACTAAAGAAAAATGTGATTTGAGCTGCAAAAACAAGTAAAAGACATTTTTGCAGAGGCTGGATTCATGTCTTGCCAATATTTATTACAGTGTTTATCATTAGGACAGTGATTTTTCACGTGTTCAGTCTATTCCAAAAGACAATGTTGCCATGTTTTTGGCTCTTGGGCTTCCCACCTTCCTGGGAGGAGATCAGAGGGTAATGAAAGCTCTCTCCTTCCCCACCATTTACATCCTCATTGGCCCATGGCACAACCCGGACAGCAGAACGCCAGAGCTCCAGCTCCTTTTGGTTCTCTTCCAAACACATCACACACAGAGCAAAGGTCAAGCCACATCTGGACTTTGATGAACATGGGGCAGAGGGAGAGAGTATGAAAGAGGCCTGTCCTGCATTTTACCCTGAAGCGTCACCAAGAGTAAACATGGATAAACACAGGTTTCTCGCTCCTCATTCAGGCAGTGTAGAGGTCAGTCACTTCCTAGCACGGTCTCCAGCCCAGAGCTGCACTGATCCATCTTCTCTTTTAAACTAACAGGTGACTTGATCCACCTTATTCAGCCCCCTAACTTACTGCTTTTGCTTCCACACCTGCATGCTGTAAAGCTCTGAGAAAGTTTGCTGCTGCCCTGTGATAGCTGTTTACTACCTTTTTACTTCATTTTTTAAGAGCCAGAAAAATGCATGACAACAGGCTCAGCTGGTAGGCTTTGGTACATCATTTATGCCACTTGAATGTAAAAGTTAAAATTGGAAGCACTGAAGATAGAAGAGAATTTATTTTAAACTGTAATTGGACTCTCAAATTAACTATTCTGTAATCCCAGTTCAGTTTCAGGAATGCCTGCCTGGGAAATCCTGAAGACCATCTGAGGACAGATTTTAGTAACCACGTATTACATGGAACTTTGCCAGGACAACGCAGAGGAAAGACCCCAGAGACAGTGATTTCTCAGGAAGAAGTGTCAGTCCATAGGAAGCTGTGCAATTCAAAGCTATACAGTCAGTGCAGTTTTGAATTCTCTGAGGACCTTTAAAAAAAGGTTTCTGTTATGCTTCTGCAAATCTGGAGACTCTTTATGAAGTATTTTAGAGACATACGATCACAAATGAGCAAACTTGTTTCTTGCTACCTGCATTTCAAAAATTAGATGCCAAGTTTCTCTGTACATGTGCTATAAACTCTTATGACATGGAAAACAGAAGTCTTTTGTGGCACGAATTAAATAAGAACAGGCTATGTTTATACTTATCAAGTAGTGATGATATGCAAAAGCAGCTTTTCTATTTACAGGCTTGGCCTTTTGTTCTCACAGACTGTTCAGAAGGAATATGAAATGAGGCCAGACTGCAGGACAAACTGCAGCATTTCCTCCACTGTCTCTACTGTGAAGAGGCTACTGATCAAATTACTACTAACTAAAGAACACTGATTCACTTTCAGATCTTTAACATTTATCCTTAATTACTATTTACTTGCACATTTAGAAACACTGGAATGGCCACAGATAAGAACCCTTTCACTCACAGTCTTTGACATTAGGTATTCATGCTAGCTGTCAAAAAAAAAAAAAAATAAAGGAAACCACCACTGACTTCCCTCTGTGCCAGACAGCTGCTTGCTCTTTCCCTCTGTCTGACTTCAGCTTTTGATACACCATCATTTAGTTTTATTCTCTCCTCACCTCTTGCCTCATTGCAAGAGCTGACATGATACATAGACTTCCATCCTGGCTTGCAGAATGTAAAAAGGTCACTCAAGACCATCTGAACATCATGTCCAGTTCCCGTTCTCTACTAAAAAATGACCACATCTTCTGATACAAACAGAACAATAATTTAAACAATACAATTTTCCACTTTTTAGGTAGCTAGGTTATATATTTATTTCTTGCACTAGCATAAGATTACTGGGCTTTATGTCCACCTAACTCCTTACCACACTGTGCTTTCAACCGTATGTGTCTGCTTTTCAGAAGATCCATTTCTGCCCTGGGATCTCAACAGGATCTCAGCTTTGATCCACTGTAAAGATAAAGTATAGAACCACTGGTGGATTCACTGAATCTTAGCTAGGCTACAACCAAAGGGGTTTGGGTAACAATTTAGTAAGCTGTTTTGTCATTAGCTGACAAATTGACAGCATTCTAATTATGTTTTGTGCTAGGCTGTTCCAGGCTCTTAAAGGTTGCTGCACCTCTTTGTACCTGGTGCAAAATTCATGCTTTGTAACAGATGATTCTTGAAGAAACACACCCAAATCTAGGTTCAGAAATCCTAATACACTCTTGAGCTTTACTTCCACCCACAAACAAAAGAAATACTTGGTGTCAGTCAGATGCCCTTATTTGAGAGAACTTTGTATCAGTATTTATGTTGGTGTGATTCCACATCCTTTACTAGGAATAGGATTAGATATGCAGCAAGTTTCCCTGCTGGAGATTTTCCAGTATCTGAAGCAGTGCACCATAAGTACTAGAAATGTCAGCAGTGATACTAATTGTGTTAGGTATACAGGGTAAAAAGAGTAGAAAGGGTAAAAATCAGTAATTTTAGGCCTCCATACCCCAATCGTCACCCTTCTGCTAACATAAGCTATTACATCTGTACTTCATCAGTGGGGGAAAAAAAAAGAATACTTGGCACCATCATAAACACATGTAAGGCCAAGACAGTAATCTAATATGGATATGATCAGATTATCATAAGATATATTTAATTCAGAGCTTGATGACAGGCATACTTCTAAGAGTTTTGACCTAAGGAGCAATGAAACCTCATTTTGAATTCCCAAAGACTTTCAAGACTTCAGAATGCAAGGCTCTTTGATATATCTCAAGATTCCTCATTTTTTGAGACCAGTAAATTTGGTCTCTTTTACCTCCTACCTGGTGCTGAATATCTTCTTCTCTTGATGAAGATAGTCGAAATTCAGGATATTCTTCAAGTCCAAGGGGCTTTCAGCACTTCTAAAGGGTAGAACCTCTGTTAACACAAACACAGTCTTTCTTAGCTTATATTTTAGAAAACACATATTCTGGGATATATTTGATCAGAAAGATTCTATATGCCTGAAGCTAGAACAAGATGCAACAGGATTATTTTAATTACCTATGAATTTTGATCCATATGTCCATTAAATTCTTCATCATCTCCCTAGTCTTGCCACAGTCTGATACAAATCAGAGTGAATTTTTTTTCTCCCCACAAACCCTATTTTATATAAGTCATGTTTACCCTCTTTGAATTCATGAAGATAAGAGGATCAGCACAAATTAAAACATTTTGTCTACTGTTGAATTTATTACAGAACCTGCTGCTTCATTATTATAAATGAGATTTAAGCAACAACCTCCTTCTGTCAACGCTCTTTAAAACATCTGCAGATGTCCCGTATTTCTCAGAAAAGACACTGAAGTTTACAAGGTAGTCCTTGTGTGTGGATGGGCACCTGTGCCAATAAAACTCCAATCCTTTCAGTTCTGAAAATGTTTCATGTACTAGTGAGACTGCATTACTGAGAGAGTAATGACTGCCCAAAGAGAGATGTATATTAGTTTTTTCATTCTTTCTAAGCATAGGCAATTTTTTCCCTTTGCACGTACTTTCTTCCTCACACATTTTAAAGACAATTTCTTCTTGTAACACCGGTGTTGTAAATCAGTTTCCTAGGCCACGTGGAAGAAAGAGGGAATAACTGTCATTGTGAATTCTTTCAACATTATTTAATGTTATCAGAAAACCAAAATGACAAGAAATACATTTGGATGATTTTTGACAACTGAATAATATGCTGATACACAAAAGTGAGATACGAGTACCTTCAGCCATCATCATTACTAGCATTGAGCAACTCGATGAATTTCAGAACCTGAATTCTCAGAGGTTTTTTTTACAGTTCTAAATTACATACACATGATGAGGGGTGTTAGAACACAAGTTAGCTAGCTGATTTGAGATCTAACAGAACCAGATTTTGGCAGCTTTGTTCTGCTCTTAAAATTTCAGCTATTATATTTTGCTATGATGAAATGAAAAAAGCTAATTGCAAGATTTTTACTCTGTAAGAAAGAGAAAAATTATGCTCTTTCCAAGCTTTTCCTCAAATCAAATGTTAATTTCTGCCTTTAAAAAGTAATTTTCCATACTTCTAAGACAGTGTCAGACATTAAATACACATACTACATGTACCTCACTGGTATAAGTCTCACACCTAAAAACAACCCCATATAACATCAATCTAAATATAGAGTGATTGATAAACTCTTCTATTGCTCAAATATACAGAAAAGAAACCACTATTCAACAAAGTTGCAATTGCAACAGCTTTCCAAAAATTGTATCTCAACTCTTTCTTGGAATAGATGTTATTCCTGTACTGTATTATTTACTATTGAAACTCAACTTTTCATCTCTCATCCGGTCTGAATGCTTCCTCACCCCAGATTCTGTATTTTCAGAAGTGTGTCTACTATACAGAGAACCTGATGTGACACATCTGCCAATGAAACTATTTCTGAACAAATATCTTAAGAACTCCTTAATTAATGAGGTTTTTATTATCAACAAAATGTTCATTCTGCTAGCAATGGGAGTTTATCTTAGAAAAGTCTACAAGAGTTTTCTCTTCTTTGCTTGCAAATGCAAACTTGGCTGTTTGGGGCCATGTCAGGCTCTGGATAATGACACAAACAGAGCAGATGGAGTTATCACTGCACTCTGAACCCGTGGTTATATACAACTATCAGTATATTTTTTTCAAGTTACAAATTAAGGAAAACATTTACCAGAAAGGGGAAAAATAACAAAATAACAACAACAAAATCCCATTGCAGACAGCTGTAAGTGAAACTTCTAATTAATCTCTAACAAAAGGAGGGGGGGAAGGGAGGAAGGAAGAAAGGACGATACTTGGTGTCTCTATGTACTTTTGTAGCTAAGGACCTGCATGTGAATGATGACTCCCAACCAGGAGGTGTGAACAGAAGGGGAGCTCACATGTGAGACACGGTCAGTCCTGGCCGAGCTTTTCTCAAATATTCCATATTGCTATTGGAAACAATATTTTTTAAAAGGAGGGATGAGAATTTTCACATGTGTAATTTCCCCTGTGTCACAAGGCATTGCTGTATCTACATGGGTTAGAGGTTATCAGGCAAGCCTTGGCAAGAATGTTGTGTAAGGTCTGCACACACTTCACATTTCATGCTAACTCTGCCATGCAGCTGGCAGCCCTGTGTTCTGCTGGTCCAACACTGAGGATAACCAACAGTGGCAGTACTGCCAGACTTGCTGTTTCTGTGTGATGCAAACAGTCCCTTCTCCCATCCATTCTGTCAGGGAATAGATCTCTGATTTCTGCCATTTCAGTCTTACACATCAAGGGGTGATGACTGTGTTGCACTCATGTACACCTTGCAATAAGAGGCCTGAGGTTTAAAGTGCCTGAGCCAGAAGGTTCTGGGTGTCCTGCCTTCTGTTATAGTTTTGAAGAGGGAGTCCTTATAGTTTCTTTTTTGCCCATAGGACAGAAGAATTTGACTAAGAGAAAGTATGAAAAGCTCAAGGGTTTCATGTTTGTAATGAGGGGACTTTGGCTGAATGTTTCAAACTTGTGTGCTTAAATTTGCATAAATAAGGGAAGTTACTGTGTGTGTTCAGGTACACTTGTTTCAGTATAAAAGTAGAGATGAAGTTTGCCGAATTTAAAATTTAAATGTTTTGGCTTCTTTGGAGGCCAAAGTTAGGAACACTAAGCTGTCTATTTCAGTTGGTTAAAATAAAAATCAGTTTACACCACAGTTCCAAAATCTTCACAGTAGTAAAATAGCTTCCGTCCAAAAGTGAATGAAATTAGAAGGCAAGTGTCCATGTGGACACCAGGGAAACAACAACTATTTGGCAAGAGCTTTCTTGGCTGTTACTCCTCTAGATCATCCCTTAGCTTGCATTAGTGTTCCTTCACCCTCATTAATCAATCACTAACCAACTAATTATATGAGATTACCATCTCATACCAATTCTTAGATCATTACAAAAAAATCATACTTGAGATGTGTTCTTTCTGTTTCAGGAATTAAAAACTGGGCATGAAAATTTGGTATATAACTGACCTCATCAAGGAATAAGTCTGGTCTTGCACTGATGGGAACAATCCCTGGTCTCTTGGGAAAGGAATGTATGAGACAGAAGTGCCCTTTTATCTCCTGCCTGTATTTTGCTTAGACAGAGTAGAAAAATGCTAAATGAGAGAGATTAAGCAAAAATAGAAAACAAATTTGACAAGGAAAAACAATAAATGAATGGGAGTGATGAAAAGTGACTACAGACTAAAAAGAACAAATGAAGCCAATAACTTGAAAAGGATTAGATGTTATGGAAAACAAATTAGTGGAATATTGAGAGGAAAAATAAGTAAAAAATGAGATGCCCCTGAGAACTGCAGGCTGGGAGAAGGACAGCTATGAACAGGGAGCTAGTCAGGAGTAAGTAACAAAGATCAGAAAATGCAGCATGTATTTGAATTGGCACCAACAAGAGAAAATTACTTCAAATATGGCAAAAATATTTAATGCCCTGTAAAATACCAGCTTTATGTATATAACAGACTGACTGGTATGAAAATGTTTTCACCAACACAGACCACAGAAAAGGTACATAATTCTAGGTGAGAGGTCTGACCAAACACAGAATGTGCCAGCCTGCTACAATTGCTCCAGTAAATTACAGCTTTTGTGAACAGATGATGATGATAATGATGATGATAATGATGATGATGATGATGATGATGATGATGATGATGATAATGATGATTTTTCCATACCAAGATCAAAATAAGAACCATGACCTAAGGAATACTATCCTACTTGGAACTCTTAGCTATTTCTATGCCATCGAAAGTATTTTAAGACCACTTCATGATTCAGTTTCCTGTTAAATATGCAGTACTTAGCTCATATATTTCATCCTTAAAAAAGAATGACTCCAATGAAAGCATGCTTCACTTAAGAGATAAGAAACTATGTGGAGAGTCTACTATGCAACTGAAGTTAGTGAGAGGACACAGTGCAAGAGTTAAAGGCAAATATCAAAGTTCAGTTCAGCCTTGAGCAACGTATATTGGTTTGAGGATTTTATATATCTTCCAATTCTCTTAGCTGGAAAACAGTCCTCCTGAAAAATGTCCTCAGCACACTGTGCTTGAAGTCAGGAGTTTGAGTGGTTTTTCTATTTTGTTTGGGCTGGGGTATTTTCTGATTGCTACAAGGTTTTTAATACAGTGCCTGCACTATGACAGCCATTTGCTTGCCACATAGGTACAGCCAGGCTCCAGGGTGTGGCACGATGTCTGGTTACATGAGCTCCTTAGTGAACAGAACATAAAACACAGAGGTAAAGGAGCTTTCCAAAACTTCACAGAAGCATATAATATTTTATGTTTTTCTGTTGGGTAAGCCATTATCCAGCCATGCCCTGAGTAATGTAACAGTAAGTTTTCTTGGAGCATGCCAGAAAGATGAGGGCACTTACCTGCAGATTTGCTCTCACTCACTGTACTCATGGTGAATCAGTCTAAGAAATAGCTTGGGGTTGGGTATAGGAATTTTTTTTAACCCACTTCCCCATGATTCACAGAACTGATATTCATGTGGTTAGCCATGATTTTGTATAAATGGGCTTTCACTTGTAGCACTGGAAGTTGTCCTTTATTTTTAACAAGAGAATTTGCTAATAAAATGCCACCTAAAATGCCCCAAGTACAGAAACTCTTTCTATGTTCTTAACATGCACACAAAGGGCTGCAAAGCAAGGATCCTTTCTCACCTTGGACACTACACCAAAAACTGTGGAACAGGGTTTGCAGAAGTGACCAGAACCTGACAGTTTTTACTACATTGTAGACATTGACCTTCCAATGGGCACGAAGTCAGATGGTGTTCATACTTTTGAAATACAATTTCAAATCATGCACACTCCCAGAAAAT